ACTGGCATATTACATAATCTACTCACTGAGCGGTGGTTGCTCATCCCTCACCCTGTTTAATTTTTCAGATGAATTAGTGAGATAAGGACTAAATCAGTTGAGGCTGAATTAGATGAGAGTGTTAGAGCTTTATTTATTAGTTCTAAAGTTGTAAGATTTTGGGATCTATTTTTATAAGAAAAGTTTATTTTATGTTTTGGCTTTCTTTTTATTTTATTTTATTTTACTTTTTATTTTCTCACGCACCGGGCGCGGGATTTCCACCTACCCCCGGGTCCGGGGCGTTATAGGTAAGTTGAACAAATATAAAAGATATTTCAGGGTCATGAGACGAAGATGTGAGGGATACAGTAAGTTTTTATGTATGCCCTCAAATAATAAGTTTGTTTAACAATAATCATGTAAAAAGTATATGTTATTTACTGGGCTAATTAGGTCGCGAAGTTAAATTATAGTTGTTGAGAAGGAGAGCATACAAAAGCTACTTTTTGTGAAGATCATCAGGACATAGAATTAGAGAAGTCTCACGAAATTGTTTGTGGATGTAACAATCAAATACTTTGCCATTCTCACATTGTGTGTGTCATTGATGTGGAGGAGGCTTCCGGGAAAGAGAACCTTTACAGGAGGTTTTCAAGGGGTCAAGCACTCGATGAAAAATAAAGACAAACACAAAATTGATTTAATTTTCAAGGGGACATAGAATATGAAACAACTTCAATTTGATTTAATTTCTTCCCCTTGATCTATAACTTTCTAAAAACCAAAAATAGAAAGAAAAAAGTAAATAAATAAAAAAAGGACTCCATCGGCGTGATATATATAGTTGGCCCCATTCTCCATTCACAAGTTTGACTGCTTGAGTCAAGTTTGTATTTGCTGGATCAGTCTTCATCACATAATGGTACACTGACTGGAAGCAACAAAGATATTTCCCAGTGCGAGCAGAATCTCTATCGCTTTTAACGCTTTCCTCCCTGCTCTTGTCTGAAAACATAATATTAAATATTCTCTTGAGAGATTATTCCAAAATACAATGGATTTTTCACAAGAATCTTGACGGTACGAGAGAACTTTATTGAAAATTAACAGAAATACAACGAGAGGAACAAATAACATGACCTCCTGATCAATCTCATAAATTCAATTTGTTACATGTATATTTTTCCTTTTAATAACTAATACTATGTACAGGTGATCATTTTTCATTTTGGTTAAATATGTAAGTCTGCAAATGAAATATGACTTAGTTCAGAGGACTAACATGCCATTCACTCTCAGACCCAAAAAAAAAAACGTGCAATTTATTACTATATACACAATCACAAAAGTTTTAGGCATATGTAATATAATTAGCAATAACAATAATAAATAATAATAAAATGAGAATTAATTATCAATGCTAGGACAGGGGGTCCTTTTGGACTAGGTTGTGAGTCCCACATTACTCCACATAATAGAGTCCACACAATCCTCATCCATATGAATGACTGAGAGTCGTTAACAACTAAATAATCACAATTAATTAGAGAATAATTGTGATCCTAATAGGGATGGCAAAAGGTTTGCATATGCTTGAGCTTGTAGTTTTAGTGATTAAAGAGCATTTAGTCTCCAACATATCTGAAATCCTAAGTTCGAATTTCCATAGATAAAATTCCTCGTTGGGACAGATCAATCTATCAGTTGGGAGGAAAGAGGAACTTACATCATTAGGCCTTGGATTCACGGGAACCAGTGCATTGGATGTAGTAGTGGAACTGCTTGTACCTGGTGTGAGTGTACCAGAAGAAGTAGAGTCGTTTGTCGACTCTGCTGTAGTAGCAGTAGTAGTAGAAGAAGAAGAAGATGATGATGATGATGAAGAAGAGGGAGAAGAACAAGAAGAATTGATTGTCTCTGCTGGTGTACTGCCAGTGCCAGACTCTGGTGCCTTTGCCTGCATTATATATATAGTGGAAAATTAATTAATGAGCTGAATATATAGGAATACACAGGAAAATTTTATGCTATCACACCATCTGAAAACGCGTATTTTCCCATGTTCCATAGAATAAAATAAAATGCGTATGTTTAGAGTCTAGACTGTGAATTTCATATGAGATTAAGATTCACAGTCTGACAACATAATTTTGATAAGAGAACATTAAAATTAGTTTGCGTATATATAATCAGTAACAAAAATAGGCCATAGGTAGCTCATTCCGGCACTTATTATATGTATGAACTTAATTTAAGGAGCATACCTTACTAGTTATGCTTGATGCTTCTCCATGCTGGTTCAAATTATCTCCCACTGTCTTCTTGGTTTTTAGCACTAGGAAGTTATCAAGGAAGCTCTTGTGGTGATGGACATACATGCCGTTAAGGTAACAATCGGCGCAAAGATCGAAGGATTTGGGGGAATGGAAAAAGCATTGGACGCAAGTGAAATAGCCTCCCTTTAAGAAGTTTTTGCAGTGGCCATTGCAGAATGGCCTTCCAGTGGAAACAATGTAGAAGAGAGCCAGCAAGTCCAGGAACTCTAACTCTTCCCTGCCTTCCTGCTTTAGCTCATCGAAGAAACTTGGGGTACAGAGATGCTTCGAATCTTCATACATGCCCATGTATGCCAAGAACTCTTGCAGGCTCACTTTTTCGTTCCCATCCTTGTCGATTTCCGACATGAACTCGTTCACCCACGTCTTCATGTGCTCCGGTACATCCTTGTAATATGCAAATGCAATTTGAAGCAACTCCTCCATTTCTCTTGTGATGATCTATTCTATAAAAACGAAACTTTTTTCTGTGTGTTCTTCTTGAATTTTATTGGAAAATTTAAACTATGGAAGTTAATTACTAGAGGCCTACTTATATAGACATATTTACTTGATGAGGAACCTCCCAGGAAAGCGCTCTCTCTCTCTCTCTCTCTCTCTCTCTCTCTCTCTGACCTTCTTAAGGAAGGCTTATGATCAATTTCCACTATTCCTGCTCAACAGGTGGAGCCCTTTTTGGCAATAGGGCAGCACCCTACCTTTGGCTTGTAGTTGACGAAGACTTATATGTGTAGGACATCTCCAAGGTCCCATCATTCTAAGGACAAAATGATCTGGTTTTCGCACTTCACCTTTCTCCAACTGCGCACTGTTGTTACTTTTGTATATTAATCAATCTGAAATGGGATGAACACAAATAGTAAATAATAGATGAGGAAGAAGATGCCAAAGAACACTCGAGGATTATGGGTAGACCTGTCAATGGATTGGATTTTGATCCGAATCTAGTGTAATTAATAAAAGATGGATTGGACTTCTTAATCTGATAATCTGATTACAATCCGAATCCAATAATTTGATAGTCTGAATACGATTTGAATCCGATAATCCGATTATAAATAGATTTAGATTTGGATTGAGGTATATTCTATCCGAATCTAACCCGTTTACAGGTCTAATTACGGGGCTCATATTACTCACACCACCAACTTTTTGGGTAGATGAATAGGAAATATTTTTGCTCACTACTTTAATCCAATGTGTAAACTCACCATTTTTCTTAATACTTAACACGTGTCCATTGACATAACTACAATTAATATTTTACTTTTATTTTTTTTAACTATGAATATACTTATAAACACGTATCAAGTATTGAAAATAATAATACCTTAAATTAAAGTAGTAAACAAAAATATTCCCAAAATGAATAAAACTTTGAAAAAAAAGCCAGGCTACAAGTTGCGGTCCCCAAAAAAAACATGCCACCACTGTAGTGGAACTGATAGGTTAGAAAGGCAATGAAGGAAAAATACAATCCAACGACCATATCGCAGGGTCAAGATCCACCGCTTTATATTATTCTGCCTTTTGAGACTTGTTGTCTTCTTCTGTCTATCATCTAAGGGTTAGGGTTTTTTCTTTTCCTTTTTGGGTATATGATCGCATGGTTATGGTTGAAGCTTGGTTAGTACACGTATCTGCTTGATTGCATTTGCCTGGATTCTTCCGAGTTTAAAGCGAGCCTTCTTCACGAAGGCTTATTTGTTTGGACTAAGTCAAACCATAGGATATTTACAAAGAACCATTATAATGACTGTTTACAACCCCAATTTTTCCAACATATGGATGGCCAATGGCCTTCCCTTCATTCTTGGCATTATTTTAAATGTCCCTTTTTCTTCCCTTCTCTTTTTGACTCATCAATTGGTGCCCTTTATGTCTTTCCACTTCCCTAGGACCTTGAGCATGCAATACCACCGCCCATTTCTTTTTGGTTTTTTCTGCTTATCCTCTTCTATGTGTAAGAGATCATATTCTATTGTTACACTTTCTAATCATTTGAGGTTTCCTAGTCTTGTGTTGATTAGGAGTACAAGTTGTGCCAAACTTTAAAGCTCAAGTGGATTACAACATCTAATTAGATTGGCTTAAGGAGAGCTCAAGAGTTCCTTGATGGGCAAGACTATTGAGTGAAGTCTATAGAAGGAGGTCCCTGTGCTACCGGCCAAAAACACACTCACATAAGTATTCTCACCCCATTTAGAGATAGAGAGATGGAGCCATATAACAGAGAAGCCTTCCTTCCTACACAAGCAAGAGTTTTCTTTTTACACAAGTCATGTCATCTCAAGATTGGTATTGACTGCATCATATAGCCTATTAGGCCCCGTTTGGTTCACGGAAAATATTTGATAGGAAATAATTTCTCATGTCTTTTCCCAATGATGGGAATTGGAAGATTCATTTCCCATGTTTGGTAATGTTATGCAAGTAACCAGAAAATACCACTTTATTTCATTTCCCATGTTTAGTTTGAGTGGGAATGTAAAACAAAGTTTTTTTAATTTTTCAATTATATCATATGAAATCAAATTTAAAAACATATATTTAATGCTATATTGTAATTCTAAATGGTTAATGGGGACAAAATGGTCAAATGTGCATTGGCCTATTTTCCCAAAGTTTCTCATGAGAAAGGAAAATGAAACCCAAGGAGGGGGAGGAGTGTTACATTTTTGGGAAATAGCAGTATATACCCCCAATTTTATAATCTTAACTAAAAATACCACCCACCCCCAATATTTGTACAACTATCACCTATAAATATAA